AACATTATCTGCGGTTTATAACTGTCTAAACGTGTTTATGGATGGTGACTCGGAACTGTTCAAGCTTCGTTATTCTTCCAGCTTCCTTGTTTTGCGTACGCTTCGTCGCCTTGCTGATTTTGGATGAATTCCTTTGACTTGGATAATAACGTTTATCGTCTTTTCCTTGTCTTGAACTATGTTTGAGGACTTATGGGCAATTTTTAACGCCAACAATAGGAGGTTGTAACTGACCCCTATATCCGCTCCTACGTGGGCGAAAATCCCTCAGAACGTGGGATAAACGGTTCTGAAACCGTTCGACTCATGTTTGAACGAGTCAAACGCCCAATCTGGCGTTTAGCACCCAACTTCGCCTCTTAGAATTGAGACGCGAGGTTGGGTGTTAGCTGAACATCATTGAACGCGAGGGTCGCTCGCGTTTTGGCTTGTTGCCTGCTTGGAAACGCGGGGGTCGGTGTTGGTTGGACCCCTACGAACGCGAGGGTCACTCACGTTCAGCTTGTATCTTGGAGACGCGGGGGTCGCCTGCACTTCCCAAGTTGTAACGCGGGGATGACATCCGTGTTTCAGAAGGAGCTTTTTCACTTGTAACTTCTTCTGTGAAGCGTTGTGAGGACCGTTGTTCAGTAATCCTGGCTTTAGCTGTTGTAGGGTATGAAAGTCGTCAGATTGTAACTTTCACCGTAGATTGTGAAGACTGCTGAATAGAGTTTTCATCAGTTGTCGGAAGTGTCGTTGAATTGTAACTCTTCTCGATCTATGTGAAAAGTCCTCTATTTGCCGCTTTCGATTGTCGACCCGAAAGCTATTTGATTGTAGCTTTCATTGTGAGAGCTTGACGGGAATCAACATCCATAGTGTCTTTAGATGGATATTTGCCCACAGCTCTATACCAAGCAACTCACCAACTTTTGATTGTCGGCGCGAAAGCTATTTGATTGTAGCTTTCGTTGTAGGAACTTGACGGGATTCAACATTCATAGTATCTTTAGATGGATATTTGCCCACAGCTCTCTACCAAGCAACTCACCAACTAAGTCCAACCTTTCATTTCTAAAATCATTACATTGCTCATCAGCATCTCCAATAATTGCTAATATAATATTAGTCGTGCTGTTGTCGCAGCCATCAAGATCAATCATCTCAGAAATGAGGTCGTGTTTGTGGCGATTGTGGAGTTGCGGATGCAGTGATTAGAAAGTCGTCTGATTGTGACTTCCCTTGTCGGAGCTTGATGGGGGTCAGCTATCCATTGTAATTTTTAGACAGCCTACAGTTACTTTTATCTATTATTTAATAATAACTAAACAAGCGAGCAAAATAGAGATTTTGACCATATAGTGAATTATAGGAACTATATATATTGTCAAAAAATTAAGATTAGCGAGGTTAAAGATACTCTAAATTAAGAAAATAAAAAGTAGAAGAGCCGTAGGACTGGACGATATCCCTATTGAAGTTTGAAAATGTCTTGGAGATATAGGCTTAGAATGATTAACTAAACTATTTAGTAAGATTATCGAGACCAAAAGAATGCCAGATGAGTAGAGAATTAGTACTTTGATAGCGACATATAAGAATAAAGAGGATATATAAAGTTGTTCAAATTATCGAAGCATAAAACTCATAAATCATACTATAAAAATTTGGGAGAGGGTAATTGAGAAAAGACTAAGAACAGAAATAAGTATATCTAAAAAATCAATTTGATTTTATGCCTGAGAGGTCAACTATGGAACCTATACATATTTTGAGACGGTTGATGGAGAGATATAGAGAGAAGAGAAAGTGTCTACATATAATTTTTATCGATCTAGAAAAAGCTTATGATAGAGTGCCTATAGACGTAATGTGGCGGATGTTAGAAAAAAAAACATGTATCTAGTATATATATTGATGTAATTAAATATATATATATGATAGAATAACAACTAGAGTAAGAACTAGTGAAGGAGAGACTAAACCATTTTCTATTACCATAGGTTTACACCAAGCGTTAGCTTTAAGTCATTATCTTTGTACATTAGTTATGGACCAACTTACTAAGCATATTCAGGATAAAATCCCATAATGTATGTTATTTGCTGATGATATAGTATTAGTTGATGAAACTAGAAGAGACATTATTTTTAAAGTAGAAAGATGGAGACAAGACTCTTGAATTTAAATGTTTTAGAATTAGTAGAATAAAAACAAAATATATAGTGTATTTTTAGTAAAACTAGGAAAGGAAGAGGGCCTATAGTACATATTGAAGGTCAAGAAATACCTAAAACTAATCATTTTCGCTATTTAGGATCAATCATTAAGCATGATTGTGAGATAGAGGATGATGTTGTGCATTGAATTAAAACAGGATGGTTAAAATGGAGGAGTACTTAAGGAGTCTTATGTGATCATAGAATACCAATGAAACTAAAGAGGAAATTTAAAGGACGATTATAAGACCAACTATGTTTTATGGGTTAGAGTGTTTGGTAATTAAAAAATAACATATTCGAAAAATAAGTGTAGCAGAAATGATAATGTTACGATGATCTTGTGGGTATACATTAAAAGATAGGATAAAAAATGAGTGCATCCATAGTAAATTAAAGATTGCATCTATTGAGGATAAAATAAGAGAGAATGGATTAAGATGGTTTGGTCATATACAACAGAAACCCCTTAATGCACCAATTAGGAAAAGCGATAATATTAGAGTTAATGGGGCTAGGAGATCTAGAGGTAGATCTGGAATAACTTGGTTAGAAGCAATTAAGAAGGATATGATTAAGACCAACTTAACGGAGGAGGTGACCCAAAAAAGAATGGAATTAAAAAATAGAATTCATGTAGCATACCCCCAAACATTTAGGATAAATGCTTGGTTGTTGTTGTTATTATTGAAGAGAGATCACATATTTGAAAAAGTTCTTCAACCGATTCAGAATTCTTCGCTCACAATGCACCCATCAAAATAACAGTTGAGATAATTTAACTATCCGTTCTCCTTGATCAGATGGATTACGGATAGAATATCTCATGCATCGTTGGTGCAACTTCTCTCTAAATGAATCCATCTGCTGGTTGATAGATAATGTTAAAAGTCTTATTGTCAAATTCTTTCAATTATCCTTCAATCGGTAAATTGTTACTAAGGCAGAATAATTTGATTGGCATGTTCCACAATATCGATCTTGACAATGCCCTACAGATCTTGTGATCTTCATTCAAAAGTTGGAACGGCTACATGTTTTAGTTTGATATCATGGGTCACTTCAAAAATAAGGCTCTAATCGGAGAATGAATCCTCGAACAACCTAAATTTGTCAAAATCAGTCCATTACTAGCTATCTGCAAGGTCGTAATGTCACGCCCCAAAAACTATAGCAGAATTTTCTAAATACGGGTTACGAGACAGCAGCGACCCATGCATAAGACAAGTTTCGTGCATGAATCAAGCCTGCTACTTTATATCATGTAGGTTAACTCAAAACATATACATAAGCATGTTGAAGACAGTAGCTCAAAACAAACTATACATATATACTTATAATCATTATTTACATTCCACAACCTAACCGTTATAAAAATTTATAACACAAAATACTCTTTTTGCTGAACATAACACCACTGGAGCCGAGTTTCCAAATAAGCACTTCTTAATCATGCCCACAACTAAAAATTTAGACTATCACATTTCTATCTCAGATCTGGAAAAAAATTGTAAAAACAACGGAGTGAGCTAAACCTTAGTGAGAACATTTCCCACTAGAGATCCTAGATATTTAACAAAATTCTAATAATTCCTAAAAATAGTGAATTATGGTCAAAAAATAACATACTATGGCTATATTCAAGAAAGAAAGTGCAAGTTATATATATCGTAATGTATTCCAGAATCATGGTAACATATTCCAAAATCAAACTCTCTTTGGAAACAAGTAATTACGAACTACTAAATTTGTGTAAAGCCAAACTATCATTATTTCCTCGGATTCACACTCAAATCTCAAAATTACAAATCTCGATGAGAACATTCAGGAAATGTAAGAATCACCTCATAGGTCTCACTAAGGCTACAAATTATAGCCAAGTAGCATGGGAATGTCAAAAGACATCACATAACACATAGTTCTCGGGAACAGAATGCACCTAACTCTGTCATAGGCTGTCGGCCACATCACAAACGCCCAAAAAGGACCACATCACAAATACTAGAAGGCCACATCACAAATACCCATAATGGGCCACACAAAGGTGCATTCTAATCATATGGCAAGCACAAACACATTGCTTCATAGTGGACTTTCTGAGGGTTTGAAAACATCAAGAATTGCTTATTAAATAACTTGATTTCGGAAACACATCCTTTGTCAAATTATTTGATTTTAAAATACATCACTTATCAATTTGCTTGTTTCCAAAACCACATCACTCGTCAAATCATTTTATTTCAAAATGCATCATTTGTGCCAAAAATATTATTGGTATGTTCACTTACCAAAATTATAAATATTTTAAATCGAGTGGACAAGCGTAAATCTCATCATCTCAGTTAAAATAGTTTACAGATTTCACTTTTCTCTGTTTTTATCAAATACTAAGTCACAAAAAATCTTTGAATTCACAAACTATTGTGACACCTTCAAATTATTTTTTTTCTTCAAAAGCTTTCAAATAAGCAGTATTCACAATTAGTTGAGTTCGCATGAAAGCAAAACCGCTTATCACATTTTATCTAAAATCTAATTTACTTTTAATATCTTGTATGAAATCAAATCATATTATATGTTATTCCATAATAAAATAGATCATATCGCATTTAACTTTATATATATACACAAAATAATAGATTATTTATTTTTGGGGAAATTGATTCTAGCCCCCAATTTCCATACGAGTATTTCGCCCCCACCCAAGAATTTTTCAACGCTCCCAAAACCTCCAAAAGTAAAGTGATAATTTCCCAAGACCCCAAAACACAAAACCCAAGTGATTAAAATATGTGAAGATCATAATACCCTTTCTCTCTTTCTTTCTCTTTGCAAATACCTCACTGGTAACCCCGGGTACGAAACAGACTCCTCCTCGTCGACCTTCACCCAGTACGTTTCCATCAGGACCCTGACCCTAACATTTTCCTCCCAGCTCCTCCCTGACCGCGTGAGCCGCCGCATCCTCGACGGGCTCCCCCGATGTCATCTTCTCGGACAAAGGGAAGTTCATGCTCCTTAGGGTTTCGTCCGAGAGGAGCTGCTAGTATTCTAGGAGAGTGGAGCTGCGGGGGAGTTCTTGATGCAGAGGATGGCCACGTTGATGGTGCGAGTGAGGGAATTCTAGGAGAGTGGAGCTGCGGGGGAGTTCTTGATGCAGAGGATGGCCACGTTGATGGTGCGGGTGAGGGAAGGGGAGGCGAGGAGAGAGGATTCGCCGTTGGTGATCTCGAGGTAGAGGTTGTTTAGGGTTTTGGTGCCCAGGGTAAGGTGTCATGCCCCGGGTCCAAAACGAGATAATTTGGAGCGTGACTCAGTCGGAAATGCAACCATACAGTTACATTCACGCCTCTGGATCATCCTGTATACAAATATATTACCAAAAGAACTACTACATAGAGCATGTAACTAAAATAGCAAAGGTACTAGATAGATAAAGAAAACTCTGAAAAGACAAATTTCTCTTACATGTCCACAACTCTTCAAAGTAGGAAAGAGGAAAATACATCTTAGTCTGAAGTACCAAAAGTGATTACAAGAAAGACTTAATAACTGAAGCTGAGAGTGGGAAGGTGACCACTGTCGCTGGTCTTAATCCTTAAAGTACTCTTGGTCCTGCGAAGAAAGAACAATTCCCAAGTCAGGGGCACGCAAACCCCAGGGGAGTCAGAAAACTCCCAACAAGCATGTAAAATGAAGGAAATATGTGCGTGTAAGTGTAATGTGGTAGAGATAAAGCAAAGATAAATTCTAAAGTTTCAGTGATAAAAGAAAATGCTACTCTTATAAATCAAATAAGATGAAAACTCAATTAAAGATGGTAAAGGAAAATTCCTAAACATGTACATCAAACAAAGTCTACCCTAAAGCATACATCTTATACCCTATACAAAAAGGAGGTAAGATTTAGAAACCCACAATGTAAGAGATGAGTACGTCGAGGGAATAATCCAAACAAGGAAACCCTCGTATATACCCTATATCTCAAATTTTAAATATCTAAATATTTACTCCCAAAATTCTATACACAACAATATCAATATGCATCACCCATGTTTCATCCAGGTCCATACCGTGCATGCCAAATCTATCACAAAGCTTAAAAACATATTAGTCTTAATTTTTACATGTTATTTGAATTAGAGAAGAATATTTTCATGTATATAAATCGGTTCCCCGTAAACCGTCCCGGGAACACGGCTTCAAGTCAGGAATTGGCTCTTTGGCCCATGTATATATTTAACTCAGGATATCAGGAATGCGCATATGCCCGTTTATATACATGTTATATTCTTCGTCTAATTCCCCTTTATAAACCCCATGTTGGTCGATTAAATTTTAAATGACTGTGCATGAAATGTTGTGCACTAACCACAGTGTTGCCGTGGAACGACATCTGTAAAACTATGGAAATAACCGTGACCCAGAACATGTCTAATCAAGATGAGTGCATCATCTAGTCGATGCTATAGTAGTAATAGCCAAGGAAAAATCTCATATCGGGATATCAATATCGAGAGCATAGCCATGCTATGAAACACGCTTATAAATCATATTTTTGACGGAAGTCGTCTTCATGCACAGTCTAACCTATTTGATGACTTTACTAATCAACACGGATTTCAACCACACAATCTATTTCAATTTATAGCAAAATCCAGAGTATGATCCAACATAGTTCAGTAGAATCATATATATTTAAAGGGATAAGCAAACCAACTGTAAACACGCACTGAGAATTTCAACAAGATAGGACGAACTGAAATCATTTATAGTCAATCAATCTGATTCTTAGTGAACCCAAAATTTATAGTGTAAAAGGAAAATGGTCATAGGTTTCAACTGTAATTACTATAGTAAAGCACAACCTATCTAACCACGAGCTCAACAACTTCTTCATTTAGATATAATGTTATATACTGTTTGTTAAGATAACTTCAAAAATATATACTCTTAAGATATGGGGTGGCCCGTTAAAAGGTTCAAAATACTATCCAATCTGTTGTGTAAACATTATGGCCAAAAATACATTAAATAGTGATTAAGTTCTTTCCTTTGAAAAGGAATAATGTTATTATTGAAATTATAGTATATATAAATAACACCCTTTAGTCTAGAGTTAAGATATGATATACAAAAAAAATATACATATATATCACTAAGAAAACACTTTATAAAGAGAATACTTAAAAGTATATTGCACTTAACTTAATTCGAAAAGATATTATAAAAACACCTTTCATATTTTGTTGAAACATTGTAGTAGAAATTTTAACATACTGTTTATATAAAAACTGACTTGACTAAAAACAAAGCCACGGTTGATATGCCCAATCTGGAGAAAATAAAACACAGGAAATTAACCATTAAATGCTAGTTACCTAATGTCATATATAAGGAGTAAATTATGCATCAGGTGTAAATTTTGTAGACACTGCTAAAAATAAGTCAACACATAGGAGAATCGGTGTATGAACCATACTAAGGTCAGTTTACTCTACAGGTCCTAGGCATGAAAAATTCAAACAGTAAAATCAAAAACACAAATTGGAAGGGAACTTATAGTACTATACTTGAATAATATTTTTATAAGTTCTAGTGTATGATAAACACAGCAAGGGAAAATATAAAAAATTATACCTATGAAGGAAATTACAATAATGATTCTAGCATAAACTCTAGGTATAAAACATCAATCTAAAAAGAAATTCAAGCAAGGAAAAAGGAGAGGAACAAAAATGCCGGTATGAATATAAACAAAAAAAATAGAAATTAAATTGAGGAAAAAGAGATGCTTGCATAATAACAACGAGAACAAATTCAACAAAGAGCAAGACAAAAATGCTTGCCGTCGAGAGGGTGATGGCGATGTTTGGGGACAACGACGACGAGCGGCGGAGGACAGCGGCGACGGGTCTGCAGGTCGTAGCGACGAATGTGGTGGAGGCGCTGGTCGTATCTGGGCGTCGCTGAGGGGCAACGACGCGGGTCTGTAGCGGCGGCGTGCTCAGGCGCGACGGCTGTGGTCGAACAGGCTTAGGAAAGCTTGGCGGCGGGGGCTGGAGGCGGAGCAGAGGGTTGGGTTTCGTAGACGAGACAGAAGGAGGAAGAGATGGGATGTCGGCGTGAAAAACCTAGGTGGAGGGGGTGATGTTCACGTGAAAGAGAGAGGGTATTTATAGGGTGTGGTTAGGATTAGGGTTAGGGTTTAATTAGGAGTAATTAACAAATAGAAGAAAAAATAGGGGAAAATATGAATAAATAGGAAAATTTCTTGTGAAAATTAGCCATAACGAAATAATAATAATAGTAATAAAACAAATATTTATTTAAGAGTTTTCACTATAACTATTTAATTTATAATTATCAAAATTATTAATAAATATAAAAATTAGATTTTTAAATCATAGAAAATTCTAGAAGTCCGAGAAAATACAAATATTCTTTTAAAAATAATAATTGAATATTTTAAAATACCAGATTTTTTTTTACTAGTATTAAAATTTTATGGTCCTTACATTCTACCCCCCTTAAAACAAATTTCGTCCTCGGAATTTAATCAAAGCACTCGAGAAGCAATGCTCTACCATAAATAAATAGATATTGTACCCAAATCTAGCTTGTCTCATATATATCTCATACAACATACTATAAGGTTATTGGAATGACTCTCCATAGTATGAATCCCCTGCGAGATAATTCAAGACGTGATACATGTAAACTAATTCTTTCCCAAGTTTGGTCCTAAGGATCGTCACCCTTAGGACCCCCACCAATCACAATCCAGTGGAGGAAGATCACGAGCCCCCTCTCACTAAAACATGTATCCCAATATCAATGTTACAATGGTGTCTTGAAGGACTCGCTTGACATTCAACACTATGGCATCATAAACATGTATAACATAAGATAATTCGATACTAATATAAAACTGGTAGATCCTAGCCTGAGACTTTTCATGAAGTTCTTTTCCTTGCATTTCTTAAACTTATAGACAATGTGGTTGGAATCATGGTTCAGTGGCACTTCTCAAGTATTTATATATCTTTCTAGATATCAAGCATCATGTATTATCTCGATCATATACTGGGTACATAGTCATATAATATCTTCAAATCAAATACTTAACTTTATATGGCTGTTATCTCACAAAATCAAGTTTCCAATATACCCTCAATATCATCCACATGATTTCTCATTCTTGGATACCCTGCACATTATCAAGCACGAACCACATTCAGAATTTATAATCTAAATAATCAATTGCACATACGTCACCAGATGGATTTTCCTTACATGCATATCTACCTCGAGTTAAGCTTAAAAACATTCCTCTCACATGACCTAACGGTGCTAAGATACTAGTCTAGCTGGAGGTAACTGAAAAGTTTTCAAGTCTATTAATATCCTGATTACTTAGCACATAAAGAACATCCAAGTTCATTCGCATGAACTAGCTGGAGCCAAATGGTAAAAATTTAGATGATCAGTTGGCTGAGCTAACTTCATCCAAACAGGCAATCATGAACTTGTAGTTGCTGCTAATGTGAGGGCTAGTGGCTGGATAAACTTTCATGCTAGCTTAACTTACGAAGCTTGGGCTAGTCTACAAAACCCTATCTATGCACATTGACTAAGTCTGTATACACTTGGCTTGAGAAAGGGAAAGATTTAACTGTTAAGATAGAAATGAATTTAGATGCGGAATCAAAGGAGTAAGCGCGAAGAGATATTGCAAGAGGGAACGACCCTAATATTATATATGCTCAGACTCCTATTCCTATTTTAAAAGATCCAATAGTTATGTACAGGGTGAGAGTCCAGTTATCTAACCTGGGCTAATATCACATTCTCAACGACCTATCTCAAATTTTGTAGAATCGTCATTCCTTCGTTGTCCCAGTACAACCTCTTAGTGGATCTATGCATATCTTAATGCTAAAATGTCATATTCAAATTCAAGATGCCTCAAATCAATTATATATCGCTCATCTTAACTTCGAACATAGTCCAAATATAGTGTATACCTCTCTTCAAATTTTATATCATTCTAGATGTCATCCTTCTGTTGTACTGCTCTACTAATATTAAGGTTAAACTCATCTCTAAAGATTTTATACTAATCATATAAATTCAGATGAAGTACAAATTTTCATATAAATCCTCTATCGTTGCTCACAAATTCTCAATTGTCACTATCATAAATTTCACCAAATATCTTCTAAGTTGATCTATATATATGTCCATGCATCTTCAATCATCAAATAAGTCGGATCGAAAATCAAATATCGTTATAAAATTTCATATCATTATAGCTCTCTTCTTAGCTTTAGTAAATCTTTATTTCATCTCATGTCCTAGCAAACCTCTTTTCAGGTCATTGCATATCTCAATCATTAAAATTTCAAACTAATATTTTGATATCTCGAATATGTTTCTTTTTCACCCACCTTATTTATCACCTTAATCTTGATATAATATGAAGGTATCTTCTCAACTCACTCAACATCAAATCCACATTCTGAATTTTTTTTCCACTCTTGATCCTCTAACTTAGTTTTAAATAACATCTTATTCATATTTCCTCAATCCCAAGATCATGTCCTCAAAATTTTAATTCCAAATACTCGAGGGACAACTGGAGTAGGGAGTCGACATTTTGGAGTCATAGTGATCACCTAAAGGAGATTGGTCAAGATTAGGACAAAGAATCAGGATATTAGGATTCAAGGAATGTATTTCTGGAAAGGAAAGAACCTATACTATACATGCTCCATATTTTTGGTCTAATCTTAATTTGTGTATGTATACAGGATGAGACAACAATTTCTAAACCTGGCTCTGATACCAATAAAACCATGTCACGCCCCGGGTCTAAAACGAGATAATTTGGAGCGTGACTCGGTCGGAAATGCAACCATACAGTTACATTCACGCCTCTGGATCATCCTGTATACAAATATATTACCAAAAGAACTACTACATAGAGCATGTAACTAAAATAGCAAAGGTACTAGATAGATAAAGAAAACTCTGAAAAGACAAATTTCTCTTACATGTCCACAACTCTTCAAAGTAGGAAAGAGGAAAATACATCTTAGTCTGAAGTACCACAAGTGATTACAAGAAAGACTTAATAACTGAAGCTGAGAGTGGGAAGGTGACCACTGTCGCTGGTCTTAATCCTTAAAGTACTCTTGGTCCTGCGAAGAAAGAACAATTCCCAAGTCAGGGGCACGCAAACCCCAGGGGAGTCAGAAAACTCCCAACAAGCATGTAAAATGAAGGAAATGTGTGCGTGTAAGTGTAATGTGGTAGAGATAAAGCAAAGATAAATTCTAAAGTTTCAGTGATAAAAGAAAATGCTACTCTTATAAATCAAATAAGATGAAAACTCAATTAAAGATGGTAAAGGAAAATTCCTAAACATGTACATCAAACAAAGTCTACCCTAAAGCATACATCTTATACCCTATACAAAAAGGAGGTAAGATTTAGAAACCCACAATGTAAGAGATGAGTACGTCGAGGGAATAATCCAAACAAGGAAACCCTCGTATATACCCTATATCTCAAATTTTAAATATCTAAATATTTACTCCCAAAATTCTATACACAACAATATCAATATGCATCACCCATGTTTCATCCAGGTCCATACCGTGCATGCCAAATCTATCACAAAGCTTAAAAACATATTAGTCTTAATTTTTACATGTTATTTGAATTAGAGAAGAATATTTTCATGTATATAAATCGGTTCCCCGTAAACCGTCCCGGGAACACGGCTTCAAGTCAGGAATTGGCTCTTTGGCCCATGTATATATTTAACTCAGGATATCAGGAATGCGCATATGCCCGTTTATATACATGTTATATTCTTCGTCTAATTCCCCTTTATAAACCCCATGTTGGTCGATTAAATTTTAAATGACTGTGCATGAAATGTTGTGCACTAACCACAGTGTTGCCGTGGAACGACATCTGTAAAACTATGGAAATAACCGTGACCCAGAACATGTCTAATCAAGATGAGTGCATCATCTAGTCGATGCTATAGTAGTAATAGCCAAGGAAAAATCTCATATCGGGATATCGATATCGAGAGCATAGCCATGCTATGAAACACGCTTATAAATCATATTTTTGACGGAAGTCGTCTTCATGCACAGTCTAACCTATTTGATGACTTTACTAATCAACACGGATTTCAACCACACAATCTATTTCAATGTATAGCAAAATCCAGAGTATGATCCAACATAGTTCAGTAGAATCATATATATTTAAAGGGATAAGAAAACCAACTGTAAACACGCACTGAGAAATTCAACAAGATAGGACGAACTGAAATCATTTATAGTCAATCAATCTGATTCTTAGTGAACCCAAAATTTATAGTGTAAAAGGAAAATGGTCATAGGTTTCAACCGTAATTACTATAGTAAAGCACAACCTATCTAACCACGAGCTCAACAACTTCTTCATTTAGATATAATGTTACAAAAACATATATAAACCTATATACTGTTTGTTAAGATAACTTCAAAAATATATACTCTTAAGATATGGGGTGGCCCGTTAAAAGGTTCAAAACACTATCCAATCTGTTGTGTAAACATTATGGCCAAAAATATATTAAATAGTGATTAAGTTCTTTCCTTTGAAAAGGAATAATGTTATTATTGAAATTATAGTATATATAAATAACACCCTTTAGTCTAGAGTTAAGATATGATATACAAAAAAAAATATACATATATATCACTAAGAAAACACTTTATAAAGAGAATACTTAAAAGTATATTGCACTTAACTTAATTCGAAAAGATATTATAAAAACACCTTTCATATTTTGTTGAAACATTGTAGTAGAAATTTTAACATACTGTTTATATAAAAACTGACTTGACTAAAAACAAAGCCACGGTTGATATGCCCAATCTGGAGAAAATAAAACACAGGAAATTAACCATTAAATGCTAGTTACCTAATGTCATATATAAGGAGTAAATTATGCATCAGGTGTAAATTTTGTAGACACTGCTAAAAATAAGTCAACACATAGGAGAATCGGTGTATGAACCATACTAAGGTCAGTTTACTCTACAGGTCCTAGGCATGAAAAATTCAAACAGTAAAATCAAAAACACAAATTGGAAGGGAACTTATAGTACTATACTTGAATAATATTTTTATAAGTTCTAGTGTATGATAAACACAGCAAGGGAAAATATAAAAAATTATACCTATGAAGGAAATTACAATAATGATTCTAGCATAAACTCTAGGTATAAAACATCAATCTAAAAAGAAATTCAAGCAAGTAAAAAAGAGAGGAACAAAAATGCCGGTATGAATATAAACAAAAAAATAGAAATTAAATTGAGGAAAAAGAGATGCTTGCATAATAACAACGAGAACGAATTCAACAAAGAGCAAGACAAAAATGCTTGCCGTCGAGAGGGTGATGGCGATGTTTGGGGACAACGATGACGAGCGGCGGAGGACAGCGGCGACGGGTCTGCAGGTCGCAAGGACGAATGTGGTAGGTGGTGGTGAAGATGGAGGTGGTGGTTGTTGGTCGTGGTGGCTGGAGGCGGAGCAGAGGGTTGGGTTTCGTAGACGAGACAGAAGGAGGAAGAGATGGGATGTCGGCGTGAAAAACCTAGGTGGAGGGGGTGATGTTCACGTGAAAGAGAGAGGGTATTTATAGGGTGTGGTTAGGATTAGGGTTAGGGTTTAATTAGGAGTAATTAACAAATAGAAGAAAAAATAGGGGAAAATATGAATAAATAGGAAATTTTCTTGTGAAAATTAGCCATAACGAAATAATAATAATAGTAATAAAACAAATATTTATTTAAGAGTTTTCACTATAACTATTTAATTTATAATTATCAAAATCATTAATAAATATAAAAATTAGAATTTTAAATCATAGAAAATTCTAGAAGACCCAGAAAATACAAATATTCTTTTAAAAATAATAATTGAATATTTTAAAATACCAGATTTTTTTTTACTAGTATTAAAATTTTATGGTCCTTACATAAGGCCCCATGAGGAGAGGGAGTCGGAGGGGATGTGGGATTTTAGGAAGGCGAAGAGGGAGGAGAGGGAGGGGAAGGAGAGGGGAGGAGATGATGATGAGCAGCAGTTTTGTTGCTTCATTTTTTCGTAAAATTTGTAAAGAAGAAGAATAAGAAGGGAGAAAAGTGATTGTCTTGGGGGTTACATGTTGGTTTTGAATGTTACGAGTTGGTTGTGAAGGATACATGTTGGTTGTGAAGGTTACATGTTGGTTGTGAAGGATACGTGTTGATTGTGAAGGTTACGGGTTGGTTGTTAAGGTTACAGGTTGGTTGTTAAGGTTACGGGATGGTCGTGAAGATTACGGAGGTTATCGAGGTTCACAACCAACCCGTAACCTTCACAAACAACCCGTAACCTTAACAACCAACCTGTAACTTTCACAACCAACACATATCATTCACAACCAACCCGTAACACCTTCACAATCAATGCGTATCTTCACAACCAACCCGTAACCTTCAAAACCAACATGTAACCTTCATTCACCACCAACTCATAAGCTTAAAAAAAACTTATTACCGTGAAATAATAATAATATATAAATTTACATACTCTATTTTAATCTCAATTCATCGATTTCCTTACAAGTATTCTGCCAATGAACGAACGTCGTTTTCTTCCCACCAGTGAAACTTTCCTGCCGTTTCCTGACAAGTATTCTGCCAAAAAATTCTAGTTTCCCCAAGATTTTTTCTTCGCCTCATGAACAAACGCCGAAAAAATATTACCGCCAATGTTGACGCCGTTGGAAAATTTTGGAGGGAACTAGAATCCCCCCCCCCCCGCCCCGCAAAATAAAAAAAAAAGCTGCCATGCAGCAGCTAACATCATGAAAAAAAGAGAAAGAGAGAGAAATGGTATTATGGTCTTCACATATTTTAATCACTTAGGTTTTGTGTTTTGGGGGCTCAGGGAATTATCGCTTTACTTTTGGGAGGTTTTGGGAGCGTTAAGTCTTGGGTAGGGGCAGAATACTCGTATGGAAATTAGGGGTTAGAAGCAATTTCCCCTTTATTTTTTGAGCACAAAATTAAATCAAATATAAAACTCATGCAAAATTCATATTAAACAAATATTAGTTGGAAATGAACTCACCTCCATTGAGTACAGCTTCCTCAAACCACTACTTTTCAAATATCAACCTGAACCTATTATATAAAATATAAGACTAATGTTAATTCAGGACAAATATATATTATAGGATGATTATTGTAAAGTTTAAAATCAATCATATTCAAGTATACTCAATAATAATTATCTATAAATAAGATACACATAGGCTTTCTTGCTAATTTTAACAATTTACTATAATTTTCTATGATATTGTTCTAATAATTTCAAACTTATTATTAATATATGGTGCATCTCAGGGATTCCAATTAATTATTCGAGCTTAATTCCTAACTGAGCTTGGATTTTTTGGATCTAATAGAAATCAACAAAGCAACATGGGTCTATAAGAATATTTTCATTCCTTTTTCTCTTTTGGACTTATACACAAACTAATAAATTTTCAAGGGTCCCAAAAAATTTAGTTATTTAACTAAAATTTTCCTCTTTCTCTCTCCTCTATCTCTTCTTCTTTCTCCGTTCATTTTTTCCCTTTGGTTCTTTTTTTTCCTTTCTGCGGTTGATGAGGCGCAGGCCGCCACGGTAATATTCCACTTCCCTTTTTTTCACTATCTCATTCTTCTTTCTCTTCTTCTCCTCTCTCTTTTTTTAACCCTAATTTCTCCCATATTTCCTCCCTTTTATCCTACCGTGAGGCGGTGAGAAACACCAACATGGAGAGACAGTGAGGAACAGTGAAATACGATTTTTTCATCATTTTTTCTGTTTATTTGGGACTGTTACACGTGAGATGTCAAGGTCAAGTAAAAAAGGGTCTCTTTTCAACGAGTCCAACAAATCATTGAAATTATTATTAGTCCTCTAAATCATGTAAACTCACTCTAAATTATTTATTTTGGTAAACTATCCTATTAATTAATTCTAGAGAATGCATGCAACATCGATCTGTTAGAGAAAATCAGCTTCCAAATTAAATTGTTTGAAAATAACTACAATTTTTTGTGAGAAAATACAAATTCAATGTTTATTTAAGAAATAACTAGTGTTTACAGTTGCCAGCTTTTGCTCCCACCCCATATTACCTAAAACATTTTATGCAGGTTTTCCTACAAACTGTAAATTCATTTACATTACCTAATTACAATATTGCAAAACCAAACAAACATAAATTTGATTGCATTGTTTATATGTTCAACTGTATTTCCACACAACTAAACAGTCCTTGGTTCTTGCATGAACCGACTTACGAGACCCACTGCGAAGGCAAGGTCAGGTCTTGTAATGGTTAAGTATAGAAGACTTCCTACAAGAGAGCGATAAGGTCGAGGATCAGGTAGCAAGGACCCTTCATCGCGTTTAAGCTTTATGTTCACGTCCATCGGAGTAGTACGTGTCTTCCCTTCGTGTACTCCGAACCTTTCAACAATCCTTCTTGCGTAGCTTTGTTGGCCAACAAATATTCCATCCTTTACCCTTTCGACCTCCAAACCAAGAAAATTGTTCAACTCACCCAACTTCTTCATCTCAAACCTCACCGACATATCCTCTTGTAGACGAGCAATTTCAGCATCATCATTCCCGGTGATGATCATATCATCCACATAAAGAAGAACCACCACGTGGACTCCTCCATTCTTCTTGAAGAATAGACTCGGATCAGAATTTGATGGCACATACCCGCAAAACTGAAGGAATTGAGCAAGCTTTTCATACCAAGCTCGAGGAGCTTGTTTTAACCCGTACAAAGCCTTTTTAAGCTTGCAGACATAATCAGGATGCTCTCGTGACTTGAAACCAAGCGGTTGCTCCATGAAGATTTTCTTATCAAGCTCTCCGTATAGAAAAGCATTCTTCACATCTAGTTGCCATAACTTCCAACCAAAGCTTACGGCTAAAGATAAAAGTGAGCGTATCGTAGTCATCTTTACCACTGGACTGAAAGTTTCATCATAATCTTCTCCATATTTTTGAGAGAACCCTCGAGCAACCAACCTTGCCTTAAATCTGTCAATGCTCCCATCCGTTTTTTGCTTAATTCGGTACACCCATTTACAAGAAACGGGTTGGACATCCTTGGGTTTTGGAACCAAATCCCAAGTTTCGTTCTTCATGAGAGCATTCATCTCCTCCTTCATTGTGCCCTCCCACTCTTGAACTCCTTTTGCTTCATCATACGATGATGGCTCTTCTTCATCTAATGGAGCTGCAAAGTAGCATGAGTAAGTAGTCACAAACCTTTCATCTCTGAACCGAGCAGGCTTAACAATGTTCCTTTTTGGCCGTTGATTAGCCATGGAACTACGATCTTCTTCCTCATCTTCCTCTTGATCAGTGCTCCCCCTTTCACCTTGCGTCTCTTCTTCAAGACTTCCGCTTTCACTTGGCATTTGAACAACTGGTTCATCGATCTTGGAGGAACCCCCACCTTCTTGTTCGACCAAGACTTGAGGTGGCCCATAAAATGAGGAAACTTCATCAAAGACAACATCACGAGACACGGTGTACTTGTGTGTATCTGGATCCATACACCTCCAGCCCTTCCTTTGTTCATCATAGCCGACAAAGATGCATTTCTTCACCTTTGCCTCCAACTTGGTTCTTTGAGAGTCAAACACGTGGACGTAGCAGATTGATCCAAATATCCTGAGATGTTTCACCGTTGGCTTCTTCCCATGAACCATCTCATAAGGAGACTTCATATTGTTCGGACTAAGTGGCATCCGGTTGATGACATACGCTGCACATCTCATGCCTTCCGCCCATAAGACCTTAGGCAAATTTTTGTCATGTAACCAGCTTCTACATGTCTCGCTTAGATGTCTTATCTTCCTTTCCGCTACTCCATTTTTCTGAGGTGTATACGGACATGTAAATTCTCTCTTGATACCATGTTTTTGGCAAAAAGAGAGAAACTCCCTTGACATGAACTCCCCTCCATTATCCGTCCTTAAAGTCTTGATCTTCTGACCTAATTCTCCCTCCACGGTAACCTTGAATTCTTGAAACTTGGAGAATACTTCTGATTTTTCCTTCACAAAGTATACCCAAGTGTACCGTGAGAAGTCATCAACAAACAGTAGCATGTACTGAAAACCAGAATAGGAGGATGTTCTCGTCGGACCCATCAAATCACTATGGACCCTCTCCAACGGAGCGCTGCATCGTGAAGTGGGGTTGTCAAATGGAAGCCTATGTGACTTTCCATATTGACAGCCTTCACAAAGCTTTCCTTCATCTTGAATCTTCAACTTCGGGAGCCCGTTAACCAAATCCTTATTCACCATAACCTTTAGCTTAGTCATATTTATATGACCAAGCCTAGCATGCCATATAAAGGCATTATCATTCGTACTCATCTTCTCAACATAAGAATTTGAGGCCGATAAAACATATAAATTCTTAACCCGTGCTCCGGTGTGAACCACGTCCGCCTTTACTTCTTTAATATTATTTAAAAATTTAACGTCTCTTGGGCCAAATAAAACGTAGTTACCTGAGTCAACCGCATTCACCACAGAGAGAAGATTCTTCCTTACTCCAGGAACATGATATACATTCTTGAGAGTGATTGGGCTTCCATCATCTCCTTCAATGACGACTGTCCCTTCCTTCTCAATGCGGTGAATTGAATTATCCGCAGTAGTGATGGCTTCTTTCCCGTCATGACGCTGAAGACTAGAAAATAACTTCTCGTCTCCGGTAATATGATGGCTACAACCAGAATCCACAATCCAATCATTTCCAAGATTTTTAGCTGTGGATGTACCTGAAGATGCAGCCTCCACCGTGAAACATTTTCCCCATTCTTTGTCTTCAGTATGACCCTTTGATTCCGCCATATTTGTTTCCTTCAGCTTGACTCGACAATCCTTTTTGAAATGCCCAAGTTTTCCACACCAATAACACTTGAATCGCTTATTGTCTCCCGTAGAAGATCCTTCTCATCCATCATTATTCTTCACATTACCATATTTGGGTTTGGCTCTGAAGCTTTGTTGTATCCCCGC